GAAGTACCTCGTACTCCTTGTTCCATTTGATAGTAAGATACAATATTGAATGAAGCTGAACTTGACGTTGTATCATTCTGAATGACAAGAGACTTGCTTGCATTAGACCCTTTGATTGTAAGAGTGAATAGATCAGTCAAATTGTTTGATGCGTCAGTGATTAGAGCTTTACTAGCGGTCGCTGTACCTGGTGTTGCTGTTAGCAATGATAGCTTACTAAGATCAACAGCTGAACCATTTAGAGTTAATGAGGCGCAGCTGATATTTCTAATTCCTGAAGCATCTTTATTAGCATCCAAGACCAATGCCTTAAATGCGTTGGCCTCGCCGGCTACAATACCATCGATATAAGTTAAACGATAGTCGTTTCGACCAATATATAACTGGTCAGCAACTTCAATAGTCAAAGCATCACCACTATTGATGAAAAAATTGGGATTGAATATGTTAGAGTCAATGGTTGGTGGTCGAATAGATATTGTCATGATATCTTATATTTGATGTAATATAAAGCAGGCGAACTATGAATTCGATCGATGATCAGAACGGCTTTGTCAGATGTCCAAGTTTGTCTATACCCAATTAAGGAGCGGCATTACCAAAAGAGTATCAATCCGGATCTCTTGGGGAAATTAAAGAACTTGGTATTAAGAGACTTTTTCGCATGCTAGTACTTGGTCCGTCCTTCAGTGGTAAAAACAATCTTGTGTTCCACATTTTGAAGAATTCACCAAATGTGTTCAGTCATTTACATATTATAGCCAGAAATCCAAATCAAGAGCTGTATAACTATCTCAGAGATAAGCTAGAAGGGTTTATCACTATCTACGATCCTGATGCACCACCAAAGGTTGACGAAGTACGTAAAACCCCTCTGAATGAGAAATCATTTGAGCTCGTAGTTATCGATGACTTCTCGAATGATAAAATCCTTATGGACAAAGTATTCTCACACTATATGACTAGAGGAAGACACTTTAAACTCAGTACGATTATTCTAATTCATAGTTACTTTGCAACACCAAAGATGATTAGACTGAATACAGAGTACGTCGCAATTCTCAAGGCAAACTCGAAACGCGATCTCAAGTTGGTTGCCAATGATTTTAATATCAATAATGTTAATGAAAGTAGATTGTTGACCGCATACCAAATGGCTACTTCAAGCAAAGGCCAATGCCTGTTTATCGATTCCGTTCGAGGCGAGCTTAGATTTAATTTCAATCGACTAATTGATCCAAATTCTCTTGACTAATTATATAAAGCAGAGTCTAGAGATCTCAAGCAAAGGAACAAATAGTAATGTCGTCAATCATTACATTTTCGAGTAAGAACGTTGTTAATAATGGATACAACAATCAACTTCAATACAACTTCAGAGGTCAGTAGTAAATTTTAAAAATGCTCAGATTGCTGTCGAGAGTATCAACATCTATAATTATCAATATAACATTGACTCTGAATTGTACGGGAACAATACGTTTAAGTTGTTAATGCCTACCAATAATGCATACTCAACTATTCAGGTAACTCTAAATAGCGGATACTATAGCTACGCGAACATCAATGCTGCGGTTCAAGCTGCTTGTGTCAGTGCTGGCGCTTATTTAATAGATGCCGAAGGAAAGAACGTGTACTTCTTCTCATTAACGGAGAATCCAACTTTCTATGCTGCTCAAGTAGATTTACTACCTGTTCCAACATCACTCGGTTCGTATACTAGACCGCCGTCCGATGTTGGATATTCTGTCCAAAACGAGTCCAACTTTGTTCAAAATATCCAATTTGTTTTTTGCTGTTTTGATAAATTACCACATTTATCCAAAATCTGTCCAAAACATATGCGTTAGTTTATAAATTACGGATCTGAATCTTACCTTTTTACTAGTAAAAGTAAGGCTAGAACGGTTGGCGTGTAGTGCGTTCTCGAGCTAGGGCATTACTTCATTCAGGCATTTCCAAAATGCTGCACGAAGGGAAGGAGTACGTGATTAGGACAACGAACAAAGTCACTGGCACCATCTACTACAACTGCTGTCATTTCCGACAAGGCTGCCTTGCAAAGCTGATTTCGAAAAGAGAACACGTACGCGCTCGCGGTGAGCACAACTGCGAGAATTTACTGTCGAAACAAGTCGTGGATGTGCGGTGTGGAATGCTTCAGCAGCTTCAGCGAGCGGCTCTAGAATCAGCGTCTGAAGCTCCATCAATGGTGTGGGAGCGTGTCCGCTCAGCATTGAACAACTTACACAAAGGAAGCACGCTGAACGCCATATGATATTGGCAAGTTCCTAAAGAAAACATTTGCTAACGATGATGGTTCTTACGTGATGACGTACGGAAAATATAAGAACAAAACAATCAAACTAATGCCGTGGATCGCTCGGGAAGCCTGGATATTTGGAAACTCAATATTTAATAATATAATATTTGTCAATAGGAAGAAACTGAAGCGCGAATAAGGATGGCCCCCCACTTCATGGGACTTAATGGGACTTTTCTTTTTTTTTTACTTTTCTTAGTTGAGAATTTGATGGTTGCCGTCTCTAAATCAATTTCAAACGTATCCCAGTGTTAATTTCG